AGAGTCTATTCCTAGAAAACATTGAACCACTGTAGTTTACAACAATTATAATTTCTAAAGTGGAAGTTGGGAGAGTTATATTTGAGTGTTTCAGTGAAACGTAAGTGAGGGAGGCCCCGCTCTCTCGCTTTCCCAGATGTTTAGTTCATTTCATTCCGATCTCCTTTGCATTATTGTAGCCTTTTTCTGTAGCCTGTCAACTATGTGTCTGTCTATCCCTGTTCTCTCCTCTCTGCTCAGGCCATACAAACGCTTCACACTGTGTGGCTGCTGCCACTCTAATCTGGTGGTCCCTGCGCGCACGACCCACGTGGAGTTCCAGGTCTCCGGCAGCCTCTGGAACTGCCGTTCTGCGGCCAACAAGGCAGAGTTCATCTCAGCCTATGCTACCCTCCAGTCCCTCAACTTCTTGGTGCTGACGTTAACATGGATTACCAAAGAAAACACTGCTACTCCTACTGCTCTTTCCTCGTCTGACCATGTGTTCTCGCATACCCCGAGAGCATCTGGTCAGCGCGGCGGTGGCACAGGAATCCTCATCTCTCCCAAGTGGACATTCTCTCTTTTTCCCCTGACCCATCTGTCTATCTCCTCATTTGAATTCCATGCTGTCACAGTCACTAGCCCATTCAAGCTTAACATCCTTGTCATTTATCGCCCTCCAGGTTCCCTTGGAGAGTTCATCAATGAGCTTGACTCCTTGATAAGTTCCTTTCCTGAGGATGGCTCACCCCTCACAGTTCTGGGTGACTTTAACCTCTCTACGTCTGCCTTTGACTCATTTCTCTCTGCCTCCTTCTTTCCACTCCTTTCCTCTTTTGACCTCACCCTCTCACCGTCCCCCCCTACTCACAAGGCAGGCAATACGCTTGACCTCATCTTTACTAGATGCTGTTCTTCTACTAATCTCACTGCAACTCCCCTCCAAGTCTCCGACCACTACTTTGTATCCTTTTCTCTCTCGCTCTCCTCCAACACTACTCACTCTGCCCCTACTCAGATGGTAATGTGCCGTCGCAACCTTCGCTCTCTCTCTCCCGCTACTCTCTCCTCTTCCATCCTATCATCTCTTCCCTCTGCTAAATCCTTCTCCCTCCGATCTCCTGATTCTGCCTCCTCAACCCTCCTCTCCTTCCTTTCTGCATCTTTTGTCTCTCTATGTCCCCTATCCTCCCGGCCGGCTCGGTCCTCCCCTCCTGCTCTGTGGCTTGACGACTCATTGCGAGCTCACAGAAGAGGGCTCCGGGCAGCCGAGCGAAAATGGAGTAAAAAACTAGACTCCCTGCGGACCTGTCATCTTTTCACTCCCTCCTCTCTACATTCTCTTCCTCTGTTTCCGCTGCTAATGCCACTTTCTACCACTCTAAATTTCAAGCCTCTGCCTCTAACCCTAGGAAGCTCTTTGCCACCTTCTCCTCCCTGCTGAATCCACCTCCTCCTACCCCTCCCTCCTCCCTCTCTGTGGATGACTTCGTCAACCCTTTTGAAAAGAAGGTTGATGACATCCGATCCACATTTATTAAGTCAAATGACACCGCTGGTCCTGCTCACACTGCCCTACCCTATGCTTTGACTTCTTTCTCCCCTCTCTCTCCAGATGAAATCTTGCGACTTGTGACGGCCGGCCACCCAACAACCTGCCCGCTTGACCCTATCCCCTCCTCTCTTCTCCAGACCATTTCCGGAGACCTTCTCCCTTACCTCACCTTGCTCATCAACTCATCCTTGACCGCTGGCCATGTCCCTTCTGTCTTCAAGAGAGCGAGAGTTGCACCCCTCCTCAAAAAACCTACACTCGATCCCTCCGATGTCAACAACTACAGACCAGTATCCCTTCTTTCTTTTCTCTCCAAAACTCTTGAGCGTGCCGTCTCTAGCCAACTCTCCTGCTATCTCTCTCAGAATTACCTTCTTGATCCAAACCAGTCAGGTTTCAAGACTGGTCATTCAACTTAGACTGCTCTTCTCTGTGTCACAGAGGCTCTCTGCACTGCTAAAGCTAACTCTCTCTCCTCTGCTCTTATCCTTCTAGACCTATCTGCTGCCTTTGATACTGTGAACCATCAGATCCTCCTCTCCACCCTCTCCGAGTTGGGCATCTTCGGCGCTGCTCACTCTTGGATTGCGTCCTACCTGACAGGTCGCGAGAATCTGTCTCCGCACCACGTGCTCTCACCACTGCTGTCCCCCAGGGCTCAGTTCTAGGCCCTCTCCTATTCTCTCTATACACCAAGTCACTTGGCTCTGTCATATCCTCACATGGTCTCTCCTATCATTGCTACGCAGACGACACAAAATTAATTTTCTCCTTTCCCCCTTCTGCATTTCTGGTAGACATATCAGTGTGGATGTCGGATCACCACCTCAAGCAGAACCTCGGCAAGACGGAGCTGCTCTTCCTCCCGGGGAAGGACTGCCCGCTCCATGATCTCGCCATCACGGTTGACAACTCCATTGTGTCCTCCTCCCAGAGTGCAAAGAACCTTGGCGTGACCCTGGACAACACCCTGTCGTTCTCCGCTTCAAAGCAGTGACCCGATCCTGCAGGTTCATGCTCTACAACATTCGCAGAGTATGACCCTACCTTACACAGAAAGCGGCACAGGTCCTAATCCAGGCACTTGTCATCTCCCGTCTGGATTACTGCAACTCGCTGTTGGCTGGGCTCCCTGCCCATGCCATTAAACCCCTACAACTTATCCAGAACGCTGCGGCCCGTCTGGTGTTCAACCTTCCCAAGTTCTCTCATGTCACCCCGCTCCTCCGCACACTCCACTGGCTTCCAGTTGAGTCTCGCATCTACTACAAGACCATGGTGCTTGCCTACGGAGCTGTGAGGGGAACGCCACCTCCTTACCTTCAGGCTCTGATCAGACCCTACACCCAAACGAGGGCACTACGTTCATCCACCTCTGGCCTGCTAGCTCCCCTACCTCTGCGGAAGCACAGTTCCCGCTCAGCTCAGTCAAAGCTATTCGCTGCTCTGGCACCCCAATGGTGGAACAAGCTCCCCCACGACGCCAGGACAGCAGAGTCACTGACCACCTTCCGGAGACACTTGAAACCCTACCTCTTTAAGGAATACCTGGAATAGTATAAAAGTAATCCTTCTTCCCCCACCCCCCATAAAAAAAAAAAAAGTGGTTGTCCCACTGGCTATCATAAGTTGAATGCACCAATTTGTAAGTCGCTCTGGATAAGAGCGTCTGCTAAATGATGTAATTGTAAATGTATGTAAACAGTATTAATCATAGGAATTAGTGGTTTGGGGTGGATTATCCCTTTAAATATTTTTTTGTTTTCATACATTTTTACAAAATAGCTCATTTTGACTTTGCACCTGGTCTATCTAAGGGGAAATCTCTCAGTTCTGCCTCTAGGACATGATTCATGCCAATAAATGTCCACCTGCTCTCTGTCTCCGGACTTGAATCCCATTGAAAACCTGTGATTTTAATTGAAATGTGCAGGCCATAAGCGCAGACAAAGGATCTGGAAAGATTCTGTATGGCAAAATGGTATAATATTCCTCCCAATGTGTTCTCCAAACTCATAAAATATTTTAGAAAAAGGCTCAGTGCCATTATCCTTGCAATGTGAGGTATTAAAAGGTATTGAAAACAGAGGTGTCGATAATTTTTACCCCTATATCTTTTAAGAAAAAAAAAAATGTATTACTTGTTAAAAAAAAACATTTTCTCTGAGCAATTGTATTAGTACAGAAGAAAATTATTCCCTAATGTTTTGAGCATACAATATAGCTTAGTATTTGAATAATTAATTTTATACAGTATATTTTGCTCTTCTTTATCAAGGGTGTCAATAATTTCTAACCCCACATAGTACATCATAAAGTGTCTGAGTCTGTGTGCACAGGCCTATTCAATCTCTGTGCTGGTGTTTTGCTTTAAGCTAATGGGTTTATACAAAACAGCCCCCTGTTGGGCCACCTTTAACATTAGGAGGGGAAAGTGTGTTTATCAAGATTTAATTGTTCCATGTGACCTATGGAGAGAACTCTCCAACCCTCCCCCCCCCCCCCCCCCTTCTCTCTCTCTCTCTCTCTCTCTCTCTATCATTCTCTCTGAGCGCTTCATCAGAGGAAATCTATCCAAACACTGTCTCTGTGCTAGCGCTGTTAGTAAGGGCAGTTTCTCAATCCTTATTTGGTCTCCATAGTTTTGATTCCTTATGATGGAAACATTGCATTTGTCATTTTGCAAGTATACATAGTGTGCAGGTTTTGTCAGACACGCAGGAAGCCAATCAAGGCAACAACTAGAGAGCATCCTCTTTTCCTGTCATATGATTTCCTCTTCTTAAAAGGAATCATAGTTGTGAAAGTTAACAAAAGAATATGTGTTTTTTCCTGCCCATGTGACTGACCGTTAAACACTTGTCTATAACTAGGGCCTGAGAAATCGGGCTTTGACCCTTCACCTCTGCAGCAGATAAGAGGAGAGGAGTTCTTCCTGGTCAGGTTCAAGGTCAGAAAAACAACTGGCCCCATCAAAACAGCAATATGTGGTGGAGTAAAAGTAATGTTAGTTATTCCCACATGTGTGCTTTAGCTATAATATACTACCAGAGTCATAAATACCAGCTAGTGTCTCTGTTAGTGTCCTCTGGTCTGGACCTCATTACTACGGAGGTTTAGAGTGTGAAGACCACAGTCACAGCCTGTCTCACTAATCAAACACAGCACTGAACACGTTACCATCAACTGTGTGTCTTGGGTGAGGGGTTGTGCATGTTGGGTGGGGGCTTTTGTGGATGTGCATGTGTGTAAGCAGTGTGAATAATGTGAATAATTCTCATGTGTCACAGCTGTCTCCGCCTGTGTTCTCTCCCTGTTTCCGGGGAGCCTGGGAAACTGCTGGACACATATGTCCTACTACTCCACACTGTATGATATAATGCTGTATGCAAAGAACATACTGTACCAAGGAATATAACACAATAGCCTTTTTGTGACAGACCTCAAGGTCAGACTGACCTGTCTTGAGGTCCAGGTGGAGTTTGTCTGTGTTGGAGTTGAAAGGTCGCGACAGGTCCAGTTCTATCTGGAAGGTCTGGCCATGTCGGATGATGAGCTCATTGCCATGGTAAAGGTCGGTGTGATGCTCCAGGCGGTTCTGACCCGTTTTAGAGCTCAGTAGATCCACAGAGTGCACTGACAACATCGGCTCTGAATGAGAGAGCGAGAGAGAGAGAGAGAGAGAGAGAGAGAGATAGATAGAGAGATAGAGAGATAGAGAGCGAGAGAGATATATCGAGAGATAGAGAGAGATCTCTCTCCTTCCTCTCCATCTCTTTTTCTATCTCTCCTCTCTCTCTCTCCTACCCTCCCCCCCGCTGCTCCCGATCTCTCTCTCTCCTCTCTCATTCCTCTATCTCCCCCCGATGAAAAAATGTAATGCAATGGTCATTGCTTATAGGTAGGGCCAGGAGTTTTTCCTAACTACATGGGGTTACTATTATGAACTAATTAACTTGACTTGACTGATACTATACCTTCCAGCTCGTTGTCTCCAGTGTGGGGCTGAGGGGGCTCAGGAAGCGGGGCAGGTTTCACCACTTCGTCCGTGACAACTGTGTCTGTGACGACATACGAGCTGCTCTGACGTCGATGGCTGCAGTGGAACATCTGAAGAAAATGGAGACAGCCCCCCTGCTCCTGAGACTTAGACTCCGCCTCCTCTTGGTTGGTTACCTCCACTATGGTCCCGGGGACACCATGGAAACGGCCCACATCAGAACCGCTCACTGTCAATCGTTCTCCTGGCATTCTGAAAGGGGATACAAAATATAAAGTTAGAGATGAGATGGTAAGATTGAGATTGTAAGAAACTGTAAGATTGGACATGCAGACAGTCAGAGATAAATAATGATGATATATAATGGGGAGTGCTGAGTTCAAAAACAGTAAAGGATAGGAAAAAAGAGCAATTGATTGAGAAAAATCTATGAAATAACATCAAATGAAGATACAAAAGCATGTCAACAATTCAATGTGAGAGAGGTTAAGTGCACACATATCAGATGGACAACACAGCACACAATAGTCTACTGAGAAAGATGGTTAACATTACTACTCCTATTCTTCAGGCCGTATTCCCCCAATGTAAACCTCTCTTCTGCATGTTCTCTCTGCATACCTTTCTTCTCCCACTCTTTTCCCCCCTCCACTCCTGAAACCAGCTTGTTTTCTTTTTAAACTTTTCCCACAATTACCCCATTCTTGACTTGCACTCTTCACAACAGTCTGCTGTTCCCAAAGCATGCTGGGGTAGTTAGCATTTTGTCCCCAAATTCCCAACATTCCTCTTGGCTGATACCTGACCCTATAGCCCCACCAAGCCACAGATGTATGTGTGTGTAATCTCTAGATATGATGGGGAACATTGATCATATTGTCATGAGAACGCAGAGCACTTAATTATTCAGTTAGTCTAGTTCATCTGTTTACGCCACCATTCATCAAACTGCAAGGTTAAGGGAACCATGCGACTATGAAACTGTGGATCCAGGGTACCACTCTAGAGTCCAGGCTACAAATCTAAACATAATGGGTTTCAAAGGTCAAATGTCAGAGGTCAGGAGAGGTAAAAACAAGAGGAGCATGAGGCATGTTTACAAAAAGACCAAGATAAGTTTCCAACCATGGTCTCCATCTGTACAGTTTTCTTTCTTCTGCTGTGTCTAAACATAAAAGCCACTTTGGCTCAGGCCTGGTGTATAATGGAGAAAAATAAATCTCCCAGAACCCAAACATTGAAGTCCCTGTGGAGTCAGTTTGGTCTGATTAAACCCTGTTGTAAAACACTCACTGCCCCTAATGAGCTGTAAGCCCTGCACATAGCTAGGAGAAATAAATGCATAGTTGTAAACAATTATGTTTCCTTTTATGATTTGCATCGGCAAGACAGAACAGCTGCCTCCGGTAAGACAAGGGGTCGCGGTCTGTGTCTATTTGTCAATAACAGCTGGTGCGCGAAATCAAATATTAAGGAAGTCTCAAAGTTTTGCTCGCCTGAGGTATAAGCTGTAGACCACACTACCAAGAGAGTTTTCATGTTTATTTTTCGTAGCTGTCTATTTACCACCACAAACCGATGCTGGCACTAAGACTGCACTCAATGAGCTGTATAAAGCCATAAGCAAACAATAATAGAATTTGGGGATAGAAGGATTACTTTTATACTATCCCAGGTATTCCTTAAAGAGGTAGGGTTTCAAGTGTCTCCGGAAGTACCAGTGACTTGCTCAATACGGAAGTGGTCAGATGACGCAGGTGCTAAGCTACAGGACTGTTTTGCTAGCACAGAATGGAACATGTTCCGGGACTCTTCCGATGGTATTGAGGAGTACACCACATCAGTCACCGGCTTCATCAATAAGTGCATCGATGACGTTGTCCCCACAGTGACCATACGTACATACCCCAAACAGAAGCCATGTGTAGTAGCCATTTTGGCCTGTTTATGTGTTGTATATGTTGTCTGTCAAGGGTTATTTTTACTTGTTTTGTACACTAGAGGGCACTATATGTTGGGGTCATAGGTCACTGGTCACGTGTGTATATAGGTAGCAAAGGTGATCAGGAAGGGTTAGCACAGGTGAGAGGAGAGCATATACAGTTCTTACCATATCACAGATATAGCATTATAGTATGCATCTCTCTGCACCTTTTGTATAGGAATATGTGTTTTGGAGCTATTTATATTTTATATACGCAATAAAAGGGAACATCACCCCTAAAGAGTAACGTTTGGAAAGCTGATTTTTGTGGACGTGTTATGAACAGCTCTCTCCTGTGCCAGTGGCTTTTCATATGGAATCGCCACTACACCATGGATTACAGGCAACATCCACACTGAGCTAAAGGGTAGAACTACCGCTTTCAAGGAGCGGGACTCTAACCCGGACGCTTATAAGAAATCCCGCTATGCCCTCAGACGAACCATCAAACAGGCAAAGCATAAAGACAGGACTAAGATTGAATCATACTACACCGGCTCCGACGCTCGTCGGATGTGGCAGGGCTTGCAAACTATTATGGACTACAAAGGGAAACCCAGCCGCAAGCTGCCCAGTGACACAAGCCTACCAGATGAGCTAAATGACTTCTATGCGCGCTTCGAGGCAAGCAACACTGAAGCATGCATGAGAGCACCAGCTGTTCAGGGCGACTGTATGATCACGCTTGCCGTAGCTGATGTGAGTAAGACCTTTAAACAGGTCAACATTCACAAGGCCTCAGGGCCAGACGGATTACCAGGACGTGTACTCTGAGCATGCACTGACCAACTGGCAAGTGTCTTCACTGACATTTTCAACCTGTCCCTGGCTGAGTCTGTAATACCTACATGTTTCAAGCAGACCACCATAGTCCCTGTGCCCAAGAACACTAAGGTAACCTGCCTAAATGACTACCGACCCGTAGCACTCACGTCTGTAGCCATGAAGTGCTTTGAAAGGCTGGTCATGGCTCACATCAACACCATCATCCTAGAAACCCTAGACCCACTCCAATTTGCATGCCGCCCCACCAGATCCACAGATGACACAATCTCTATTGCACTCAACACTGCCCTTTCCCACCTGGACAAAAGGAACACCTACGTGAGAATGCTGTTCATTGTCTACAGCTCAGCGTTCAACACCATAGTGCCCACAAAGCTCATCACTAAGCTAAGGACCCTGGGACTAAACACCTCCATCTGCAACTGGATCCTGGACTTACTGACGGGCTGCTCCCAGGTGGTAAGGGTAGTCAACAACACATCTGCCACACTGATCCTCAACACAGGGGCCCCTCAGGGGTGTGTGCTTAGTCCCCTCCTGTACACCCTGTTCACCCATGACTGCGTGGCCAAGCACGACTCCAACACCATCATTAAGTTTGCCGACGACACAATGGTGGTAGGCCTGATCACAGACAACGATTAGACAGCCTATAGGGAGGAGGACAGAGACCTGGTGGTGTGGTGCCAGGACAACAACCTCTCCCTCAACGTGATCAAGACAAAGGAGATGATCGTAGACTACAGGAAAAGGAGGGCCGAGCACGCCCCCATTCTCATCGACAGGGCTGTAGTGGAGCAGGTTGAGAGCTTAAAGTTCCTTGGTTTCCATATCACCAACAAACTATCATGGTCCATACACACCAAGACAGTCATGAAGAGGGCACGACAAAACCTATTCCCCCTTAGATCCTAAAAAAAGTTATACAGCTGCACCATCGAGAGCATCCTGAGTGGTTGCAACACTGCCTGGTATGGCAACTGCTCGGACTCCACATCACTGGGGCCAAGCTTGCTGCCATCCAGGACCTCTATACCAGGCGGTGTCAGAGGAAGGCCCTAAAAATTGCCAGAGATTCCAGCCGCCCTAGTCATAGACTGTTCTCTCTGCTACTGCATGGCAAGCTGTACCGGAGAGCCAAGTCTAGTCTATCTATGCATAGTCACTTTACCCATACCTACATGTACATACTACCTTGACTAACCTGTACCCAGCACATTGACTCGGTACCGGTACCCCCTGTATATAGCCTCGTTATTGATATTTTATTGTTGCTGTTTTATTTTTTACTTTAGTTTATTTAGTCAATATTTTTCTTAACTCTTATTTTTCTTAAAACTGCATTGTTGGTTAAGTAAGCATTTAATGGTAAGGTCTACACCTTGAAACAAAAACAAATAAGTAAAGGAGAGGATGCTACTTGAGGCTATTGAGATGCATCCTCTCTATAACTTTAAGTAGGAGAGGAGAGAAGACGTACAGTTGAAGTCGGAAGTTTGCATACACCTTAGCCAAATACAATTTAACTCTGTTTTTCACAATTCCTGACATTTAATCCTAGTAAAAATGCCATATCTTAGGTCAGTTATGATCACCACTTTATTTTAAGAATGTGAAATGTCAGAATAATTGTAGAGAGAATGATTTAATTCAGCTTTTATTTCTTTCATCACATTCCCAGTGGGTCAGAAGTTTATATACACTCAGTTAGTATTTGGTAGCATTGCCTTTAAAATGGTTTAACTTGGGTCAAACGTTTCGGGTAGCCTTCCACAAGCTTCCCACAATAAGTTGGGTGAATTTTGGCCCATTCCTCCTGACAGAGCTGGTGTAACTGAGTCAGGTTTGTAGGCCTCATTGCTCACACACACTTTTTCAGTTCTGCCCACACATTTGCTATAGGATTGAGGTCAAGGCTTTGTGATGGCCACTCCAATACCTTGACTTTGTTGTCCTTAAGCCATTTTGCCACAACTTTGGAAGTATGCTTGGGGACATTGTCCATTTAGAAGACCCATTTGCGACCAAACTTTAACTTCCTGACTGATGTCTTGAGATGTTGCTTCAATATATCCACATAATTTTCCTTCCTCATGATGCCATCTATTTTGTGAAGTGCACCAGTCCCTCCTGCAGCAAAGCACCCCCACAGCATGATGCTGCCACCCCCGTGCTTCACGGTTGGGATGGTGTTCTTCGGCTTGCAAGCAACCCCCTTTTTCCTCCAAACATAACGATGGTCATTATTGCCAAACAGTTCTATTTTTGTTTCATCAGACCAGAGGACATTTCTCCAAAAAGTACGATATTTGTCCCCATGTGCAGTTGCAAACCGTTGTCTGGCTTTTTTATGGCGGTTTTGGAGCAGTGGTTACTTCCTTGCTGAGCGGCCATTCAGGTTATGTCGATATAGGACTCGTTTTACAGTGGATATAGATACTTTTGTCCCTGTTTCCTCCAGCATCTTCACAAGGTCCTTTGC